CCTCAACAATGGCTTATATCGCTGGAGACATCCTCGACAAATCCTCGACAAGAGAGAGTTAAGGGAAATACATAAAATAAATATTTAAACAGGAAAGGGACAAGAAGAAATGAGGAGGAGACGTAGAAGAGGAGAGGAAAGGAGGATAACACAGAAAATCTGAAGATTCAAATGTATTAAAATTTTATTTACAAGCGCTTTATGAAAATTACATGTTTTTAGTGCTCGTGTAGGGTAGCTCATGTGCCTCGCTTTCCGCGGATAATCAACCCCAGGGATAAACAAGTTCAGGGGGGGGCGCGGGGAGAGAGAGGAAATTAGCCTGGCGAAGGACCCAACCATATGCAGTTGAGAGTACCGCAATTGTGAATATCTTCTTCGGTGGCGCTCCCTATGGGGCCACGAGCCGTATGAGGGGTGTGCCGAAATGCGTGGCAGTGTACACAACACGAACGAAGACGATAGGTCCGAATATGAAAGCTTGAGCGCGTGCGAGTCGGATCGCGAGCGAGTCTGATTATGAATGAATCTGCGCGCGATTGATTCTATTCGCATGAATGCGTGCATGGATACGCCCAGTGTAAATGTATGTATACGACTGTGAACAATTTGGGTCTGCGTGACTCTCGGTACTCGTGACTCTGAGCGTCGACTCTGCAGGGGGGCTTCCCTGGGAACCCCGACGGCAACGCCCGCGCGCCGCGACGCCCATGTCGGCACGCCACACACCTGGTGTGCGGGACGCATGCGGACGGCAGCACTGGGGCCTTCGGTGGAGCTCCCTGTGGGGCCACGAAACGTGTGAGGGGTGTGCCGAAATGGGTGTGCGGGACGCATGCGGACGGCAGCCATGGGGCCTTCGGTGGAGCTCCCTATGGGGCCACGAAACGTGTGAGGGGTGTGCCGAAATGGGTGTGCGGGACGCATGCGGACGGCAGCACTGGGGCCTTCGGTGGAGCTCCCTGTGGGGCCACGAAACGTGTGAGGGGTGTGCCGAAATGGGTGTGCGGGACGCATGCGGACGGCAGCATGGGGCCTTCGGTGGAGCTCCCTATGGGGCCACGAAACGTGTGAGGGGTGTGCCGAAATGGGTGTGCGGGACGCATGCGGACGGCAGCACTGGGGCCTTCGGTGGAGCTCCCTGTGGGGCCACGAAACGTGTGAGGGGTGTGCCGAAATGGGTGTGCGGGACGCATGCGGACGGCAGCCATGGGGCCTTCGGTGGAGCTCCCTGTGGGGCCACGAAACGTGTGAGGGGTGTGCCGAAATGGGTGTGCGGGACGCATGCGGACGGCAGCATGGGGCCTTCGGTGGAGCTCCCTATGGGGCCACGAAACGTGTGAGGGGTGTGCCGAAATGGGTGTGCGCATGCGGACGGCAGCCATGGGGCCTTCGGTGGAGCTCCCTATGGGGCCACGAAACGTGTGAGGGGTGTGCCGAAATGGGTGTGCGGGACGCATGCGGACGGCAGCACTGGGGCCTTCGGTGGAGCTCCCTGTGGGGCCAAAACGTGTGAGGGGTGTGCCGAAATGGGTGTGCGGGACGCATGCGGACGGCAGCACTGGGGCCTTCGGTGGAGCTCCCTGTGGGGCCACGAAACGTGTGAGGGGTGTGCCGAAATGGGTGTGCGGGACGCATGCGGACGGCAGCCATGGGGCCTTCGGTGGAGCTCCCTATGGGGCCACGAAACGTGTGAGGGGTGTGCCGAAATGGGTGTGCGGGACGCATGCGGACGGCAGCACTGGGGCCTTCGGTGGAGCTCCCTGTGGGGCCACGAAACGTGTGAGGGGTGTGCCGAAATGGGTGTGCGGGACGCATGCGGACGGCAGCCATGGGGCCTTCGGTGGAGCTCCCTGTGGGGCCACGAAACGTGTGAGGGGTGTGCCGAAATGGGTGTGCGGGACGCATGCGGACGGCAGCGGAGGAGGAGGAGAGGAGGAGGAGGAGAGGAGGTGGGACGCGGGCCGTCCTCTCTTCAAAACGAGGGCCCAACACCACAGGATGGTTGGGAAAAAAGAAAGAAATAAAGAAATATATAAAGAAATAAAAATATGAATTAAGAGAAAGAGAAGAGAAGAGGAAGACAAAGAGCAAACAAATCAAGTTCCAAATCTATTAGATTTAGTTTACAAGCGCTTTCTGACAATTGATTTTTTAAGTGCTCGTGTAGGGTAGCTCACGTGCCTCGCTTGCCATGGATAATCAACACCAGGGATAAACAAGTTCAGGGGGGCATGGGGAGAGAGAGGAAAAAAGAAAGAAATAAAGAAATATATAAAGAAATGGAAATATAAATTAAGAACAAAAAAGGAGAAGAGAAGAGGAAAAAAAGAGCAAACATTTCAAGTTCCAATTTCTATGTTGCTATATCAACATCGCTTGATGTTGCTATCTCAACATAGCGTTTCGAGGTGATAATGAAGTTCGGCCTCAGCGCTCGCCGCCCAATTTGAATTTTGTATAGGGCGACGATAATCAACTCTAAACACTGAAGGGGGGGGGTCCCTTTATTATCATCGGCATGCGGTTAACAGCTGCCTGGGCGCTGGCGACCGCCTGCTGAAGGCTTGCGCCGCCGCCTGCCGCCACCATGGCAGCGCGTCCACCACTCCATGATGTAGTCCTGCCAGGTTACAAAAGAGCTCATCATATGCCTCCTGATTTGGGCCGAGCTGCTTCTCCAACTCTTCGGTGTCGGACTGGGCTGTCGCGCGCCCCTTGGACTTGGCTGCGTCCCGGTCCGTCGTGAAACGTAATTAGGAGGCCATCGGGCGACTTCTGATGTCGTTCCGTCTGTCCTGCGCCTGCGAGCGCCAGCATGGCTTGGACGAGGAGTGGACCGTCGTCAGGCGGCCCGACCTTCCTGAACTTTGGCCACTGCACCGCCCAACTCTTTGCTCCCCTGAATAAAATGGTGCTGCCATGGCCAGCGCCAGCAGCATCCCCGTTGCTGCGCTCGCGCGATGCTGGACGGGACGGCGGACGGGGACCCGCTGATGGGAGGCGGCCTTCTCGGGCACGCCCGCATTTGAAGAATCGCTCTCTTGTCGCGAATTCCTTCTCCAGTCCACACAACCTTGCTGCCTTGCATGCCCATCTTGGTTCCTGCTGCTGTGTGCTTTTCCGCCTGACGCCACGGTCGCCACCCACAGCGCCGCCGTCCACACGAAAAACGAGACGGGGCGTCCTCCAGCCGCGGCGGTCTGTGATGCTCACGCCGTTGTGCCACCGCGAGGCGCATCATATCAAGTGGAGTATACGCATGTCCTTGTAGGACGTGATATCGCAATCGACGTGTTGGTTGAATCGACAGGACAGCCTCAAGGTTGGTACCGTCTGGTGCTCTGGGGGCATTCGCTTGCGGCATCCGCTTGCGGCATCCGCGGCAGCTGTCCACCATCGCGGGTAGGAGGCCCAGGATGGACCGGCGAATGTTAGCCGCCCAAAGCGCCCTCGTCATCTCTGCCTTGGTGGCGTGCCACCATCTCGGGTGCAGCTTGCGTAGTTCGCTCCCACCCTGGAGTAGGGATGAGGAGGAGGAGGAGGAGCAGGACGAAAAAGGAGGGGAATGAGGAGGGTGAGCAGGAAGGGGATGATAGAAGAGGAGGGAGAGAGGAGGAGGAGGAGGAGGAGGAGGAGGAGGAGGAGGAGGAGGAGGAGGAGGAAGAGGAGGAGGAGGAGGAGGATGAGGATGAGGAGGACAAGTTTAAACCCAAGAATAATCAACGATGTTGGAATAAACCCTCCCTCCAAGCACCCTCCTCACAGGCCCCTACAACGGTTCATTTCCATTGGGGGGGTGCATCGCTGGAAGAGAACCATTTGAAGAACATGAAGCATACCAAAACATTGTTCTCGGGATCCCAACGCCCAGATCAACCTTACTGTTGCGTGTTGGAGATCCTGAATCGTGCCAAAACGCTATCCCTGGGACCCCAACACAGCGAATCAACGTAACTGTTGCGCCCGCGTAAGCCTGAATCCTTTCAATTCCTGGTACGCTGATGATGGGGATACGTGAAACTTGTGTGAATTGTGTAAACGAATGTGCGCGGTGCTAAAGCGAAAGCCACATTTTGACAAAGAACCGCCTTGAGTCCGTGAAACTCTTGTAGCTTGTTAAAACGAATGTGCACCGCGCTAAGGCGAGAGCCACATTTTGAAAAAAAGCCGCCCTAAGTCCGTGAAACTCTTGCAAATTATTTGAACGAGCATGCGCCGCGCTAAAGCGAGAGCCACAGTTTGAAAACCACCCGCCCTCAATATGTGAAGCTCTTGCTATGTTTTGGAAAGCATGCGCGCCGCGCTAAGGCGAGAGCCACATCGTGAAAACCTCCCACCCACAGTCCGTGAACCTCCTGCAAATCTTTAATACGAATGTGCACCGCGCTAAAGCGAGAGCCACATTGTGAAAACCACCCGCCCTCCATCGGTGAAACTGTTGCCAACTCAGGCATCAGGGTCGTGAAAGGTGAGAAGTCTCAGGCGAAACGCCCGGCCCGCCCTAAAATCTGGCACTCGGGGTGCGACAGGTAGAAGGTTATTTATAAGGAACAGGAATGGAGGAGAAGGAGGAAGAGGAGGCTTCCAGGTGGGCGAGCATGATCGTGCGCGGCGCATGAGCAGGGCCGCAGGGGCTCCTCCTCGGCCACGAGAGGCGCGCCGTCGGTTTCGCGCGAGCGCGCGCCTGCCTCCGTGGCGGGCCGTGCGCTACAGCCTGGCCTCCGCCGCAGTGGCCCTGCCGCCGCCGCCGCCGCGTGGCCGTGGTCGGGTTCGCAATCGTCGTCGTCGACGTGGTCGCCGCGCCGCCACCGCCGCCGCCGCTGCCGCCGCCTCCGCCGCCGCCGCCGCCGCCGCCGTCGTCGTCGTCGCCGTCGTCGTCGTCGCCGTCGTCGCGGTCGCCGCCGTCGCCGTGGTCGTCGGCGAGATCCCCCGAGAGGGTTCCCGGAGGCCCTCGGGGGGAGGGGGGAGGGCCGGCCCCGCCCTCCCCGCGGGCGGGCCTTCTGACGCTCTCGGAAGGCCTCCACGGCTTCTTCGTAGGGCGGGAATCGGTCCCCGGGCCCCATGTCGTCGCTGACCTGCGGAGGAGGGGCGCTGGATAGAAGGGGCCGGGGGTGAGGAGAGCGGAAAGGGCGCAGGATTGGAGGGAGGACGAGGGAGACGGAGCGGGAGGGGGTGGGAGGGAGAGGAGGGAGAGGAGGGAGAGGAGGGAGAGGAAGGAAAGGAGGGACGACCGGGAGGGCGGGAAATGGCGGGAAGGAGGCGAGGGGAGGAAGGGATGGCTGGGGGGAGGAAGGGAGGGAGGGGCGGACTGGAGCAATGTGAAAATGGGAGGGGAGGGCCAGGGGAAGGAGGAAAAGGGACAGGAGAAGAGCAGGCAGAAAGGAGGGGAGTGGGAGGGGGATGATGAGAAGATCTTGACGGGGTGGCATCCAGAGGAGGAGGGTGTCTTCGTCGAAACGACGTGCCTGCTGTTTGCTCTCTGGCGAGACACTCGAGGCACTCGCGGCTGCCTCGCCGCGAGCTGCCGGCACTGCTGCTGAGGACGTGGCCGCCGACGGCACGGAGGGCACGCGAGGAGGGCGCCGTCAACCGACCACCTCACCGATCCTGGCCAGCCCGACCCATCCCGGGCCCAGGAGTGGCGTACGTCCACTACGCCCTGGCCGGAGTGTACACCGATCCTGTCGGGGGGGCGAAAGGGCAGGGCAGTAACGGGCAGAGTTGTGGATGCCAGTGGATGCCAGTGGCAATGGACGCTCTGAGAGCCCTATCATTGGATTTGAACTGGACGTCTAATGTGTTAAGCTGTACGAAAAATATGTCAAACATGCTTTCTACATGGTTTAAGTCTGTTTGAAACATTGCTTAGACATCAGGAAGCTATTTGACGACATGCCTCCTCTCCATGGATCGTCTTCCACCAGGGTGGAGAGGAGAGCCGAGCCAGCTCACGGAGCTGGCTTTCTCGGTGCCTCCTGACGAGCGGAGGGAGGCGCTCGGGTATCGAGGAGGGGGCGCTGGGCGGCGGGGCCGAAACAACCGGCTGCCTGCAGCCGGGTTCGTAGCCTCCACCCCTCTCCCTCTCCTGCCCTGTTGTTCGGCCCGATCCTGGGCGCGGGCTGCTGGCGGCGCGCACAAAGGGGGTAGGGGGAGGGGGGAAGGCTTCTTGCCAGGAGGGTGCTTCTCACAAGGCGCCGGCCTCACATGCAAAGAGGAGGCCCGCGCCCTCTGAGAAGCAGGGGTGCTTCCAAGAAGACCTCCCCCCTCCCCCTGCCCTGGAGGCAGGGAAAGGGGTATGGCACAAAGGGGTGTGGTGTTGATTCCCGGTGAAGGGGACTCTGGTGATGCTACGTACCACGGAAAGCATCGTCACTTCCACGCTCGGCACCATACCCCCTCTCTGCCACACCCCTCCCCGACCTCCAGACCTGCCCCCCTCTGCAGCGTGGGCGAGGGATGGGCCCGGCCACGAGCGGTGAGCTGGTCAGGGCAGTCTTTAATAGTTTCTCTTTAAAAAAAAATAGGATTGTAAATACAGGATTAATGTATGAAGAGATGTACACATGAACTCACCGTTGCTTTTAAGGCTAAACCCCTGCATTTTTTATACATGATCCGCACGAGGAGCACGTATTGAAAACTGCCCTGTCCGCGGACGCCGCCCGGCCTCCAGCGGTGCCGCGGGCGGCCCCTCTGCGCGCCGCGCGCGGCCCCTCATGCGGCCAGCGGGGCGGCCCTCGGCGGGGGTCCTCGGGCCGCTCCCCGCCGCCGCTCCGAGCCGGGACGCGGGCAGGCGCCGGGGCGGCCTCGGACCTCCGGCCGGAGACTCCTGGAGTACACCCTGCGAAATGCTTAAGAAATCATGGGTTAAGAAATTCATAGTCTCAGAACTTGAATAAAAACTCAACATTTATATTAAAATCTTGGGACTCACATTGAAACGTTAAGAATAATCGAGCCTCTGGCCGAAAACTTAGGTTTTCTTAAGCATAGCCTAAGGAGTAGGGGGCCACATGCGAACCCTACCCCTATCCCCCACGATTTCTGAGGGGGAGGGTGGGGTAGGGTTCGCATGTGGCCCCCTGTGGAGGCCCCTCGCGCGGCCGCTCGAGGCCCGAGCTGCGTCGGCGACGCGTCGGATCTGCGGCGGGCTGGCGCCGGAAGGACGTCGGGTGGACGTCGGGAGGACGTCGGAGTGACGCCGGAGCGTCGCCTCGCGAACGTCAACACGTAGCTTCGGGAGCCGACGTGTGGACTGGATAATGCAGCTCCTGCTCGCCGCGCGAGGCCCCCGGGATTTGCCTCGTGACGGACCGGTGTAAGTCGAGAGTCCCTGCGGGCGTGGAGGCTGCGTCGGGCGCCGCGGCCCCTTCGGGAGCGCTCCTGGACGCTCCGAGGAGCGCTCCGGAAGGCTCCGGAACGGATCGGTCTCGAGCCGAGGCCCGTCCGAGGAGCGCCACGGGCATCGGGTGCCCCACACTCGGGAGGAAGGCAAGGTGGGGACAGATCCGGATGACAGCAGGTCGGGGAGCCCGTGAGGAGCGAGGCGGGCGTGGAGGTGTCCCGGGCGCGGCGGCCTCCTCGCACGCGCTGGCAGCAGCATCGCAGCCGATGGCGTACCGTCGCTCGCGCCATGCCGCGAAGCAGCAACAGTGGGAATGCAGCCACCGCCTGCTTCCCCGCACGCGCAGGTTGAAGCAGCATAGAACAAGCCTGGCACGCCCCGCTGAAACAGGTCAGTAGCGTGAACCTCTCTCTCTACATCTACATTTCTCTCTCTCCCTCTCTTTCTCTTCTCCCTCTCTCTCTCTGTCCCGTTCTATATATATATATGTGTGTGTGTGTGTGTGTCTCTAACTCTTTCTCTCTATCACTCGTGCAAAATCCGAAAGCAACAACATTTGATCTACGACATTCGCATCAAATCTCGCAGGCCGTATGCCGTGAAGCAGTGTTAGTACAGGTATGAGTTCTGATACTTTTGCGCTCGTGCCGATTGCGACACTATAGCTGATAGTGCTCGCTTTCATCTCCGCTTGTCCCACGACGCTGGACATCGACGTGGTCTGTCCTCAGTCGTTGCCGCTTTCACATGCGCTCGTCCCGACCATGGCAAATGCCCTTGCTGGCGTTCACTTTCACCGACGGCGTGCATCAGACCAGCACTTGGCCAGCCACCTCCTCCTCCTCCTTCTCCTCCTGCTCCTCCAGCTCCTCCTCATCCGCCTCCTCCTCCTCCTCCTCATCCTCCTCCACGTTGGATGCCCGCCACCAGATCACAAGAGTCTTGTCGGCATCTCAGCGCAATGCCCCCACAAACCAACTAACGGCACACAAGGGCTTCAATCGAGGTGCCACATGCGCAGCCACATCTGAACAAGCACAGCTACAGTCTTGACAGGCCTTAGCGCGAAGACCATTGGAGTAGCGCCTGGGAGCCTTGGACCTTGGTATGACACCGCTGCCGCTGCTGCGTCGGTCGACGCGCGCCCGCAGCGCGGCGTGTCTTGATCACGAGCGTCACTGTCCTGCTATGCTCCACCGCCGCACGCACCCGTACGTGTACAGCCCAAGCAGGCCAAGAGAGTCCGACGACCGAAGCGTCTGTAAGGCACGCATCATGCGGCCGATAGCACGAAACCTCCCCCCAGAGGCCTGCGCTGGAACAACGCAGAAAGAGGGAGGGAAAAGTTTAGGAAACATTCGGAAACTCATCATCATCATCGTCATCATCATCACCATCATCATCATCACCACCACCACCACCACCACCACCACCACCATCATCATCATCATCATCATCATCATCATCATCATCATCATCATCATCATCATCATCATCATCATCATCATCATCATCATCATCATCATCATCATCATCATCATCATCATCATCATCATCATCATCATCATCATCATCATCATCATCATCATCATCATCATCATCATCAGCATCACCATCATCACCACAGTCATCATCAACATCATCATCACCACCATCATCATCATAATCACCCTGTGACGTACCCAACCCCTTTGTATCAATGGACACGAGGAGTTGGCCGAAACTTGTATGGACAATCAACTTGATGTGTAAGCTACTTGGGAGGCGTCACTGTGCTGGGCCCCGCAAGCAGGCCTCGAAAGTGGCGACAGTTTCACAGATCGCAGCCCCCCAGGGATGGCGAGGTCTAATTTGAATCTGCGTGTGGCGTCACTGTGCTGGGCCCCCCAGCAGGCCTCGAAAGTGGCGACAGTTTCACAGATCGCAGCCCCCCAGGGATGGCGAGGTCTAATTTGAGTCTGCGGTGGTACCCACTGTGCTGGGCCCCCCAGCAGCCCTCGAAAGTGGCGACAGTTTCACAGATCGCAGCCCCCCAGGGATGGCGAGGTCCCATTTGAGTCTGCGGTGAGTACCCACTGTGCTGGGCCCCCCAGCAGGCCTCGAAAGTGGCGACAGTTTCACAGATCGCAGCCCCCCAGGGATGGCGAGGTCCAATTTGAGTCTGCGGTGAGTACCCACTGTGCTGGGCCCCTCAGCAGGCCTCGAAAGTGGCGACAGTTTCACAGATCGCAGCCCCCCAGGGATGGCGAGGTCCCATTTGAGTCTGCGGTGGTACCCACTGTGCTGGGCCCCCCAGCAGGCCTCGAAAGTGGCGACAGTTTCACAGATCGCAGCCCCCCAGGGATGGCGAGGTCCCATTTGAGTCTGCGGTGAGTACCCACTGTGCTGGGCCCCCCAGCAGGCCTCGAAAGTGGCGACAGTTTCACAGATCGCAGCCCCCCAGGGAGGATAATTGTCATTTGATGCGGTGAGTACCCACTGTGCTGGGCCCCTCAGCAGCCCTCGAAAGTGGCGACAGTTTCACAGATCGCAGCCCCCCAGGGATGGCGAGGTCCAATTTGAGTCTGCGGTGAGTACCCACTGTGCTGGGCCCCCAGCAGCCCTCGAAAGTGGCGACAGTTTCACAGATCGCAGCCCCCCAGGGATGGCGAGGTCCCATTTGAATCTGCGGTGGGTACCCACTGTGCTGGGCCCCCCAGCAGCCCTCGAAAGTGGCGACAGTTTCACAGATCGCAGCCCCCCAGGGATGGCGAGGTCTAATTTGAGTCTGCGGTGGTACCCACTGTGCTGGGCCCCCCAGCAGGCCTCGAAAGTGGCGACAGTTTCACAGATCGCAGCCCCCCAGGGATGGCGAGGTCCCATTTGAGTCTGCGGTGGGTACCCACTGTGCTGGGCCCCCCAGCAGGCCTCGAAAGTGGCGACAGTTTCACAGATCGCAGCCCCCCAGGGATGGCGAGGTCCCATTTGAGTCCGCGGTGAGTACCCACTGTGCTGGGCCCCCCAGCAGGCCTCGAAAGTGGCGACAGTTTCACAGATCGCAGCCCCCCAGCTGGCACGCAGCGACGAGCGAGGCAAAAGGCAAGGGGGAAGAGAGGGGCGGGAAGGAAGGAAGGAAGAAAGGAGACGCGCGAGCAGTGCTCTATTCAAAACGAGAACCCAACGCAGGATGGTTGGAAATAATAATCATCATCATCAGCAGCATCATCATAATCATCACGGAACCAACAACTGGACCAACGGCCCGGCCTGCACTGCAAGCTTCTCGTCGAGCTCGTCCGTGTCCCAGCCCATTTGCACCGGTCCGCAGAACATGCCCGTGCTGTCCACTCCTCCGACCTTTGCCTGATCGCCCGCGCGCATGTCATCCTTTTTCCACCCTCGCGCCCTCAATCCGCAACAGACATGCGACAATCCTCTTCGAAAAGGAAGGAGTTCGTGGATGGGGGGCTGGGGACTTGAAGGGAAGCAGGAGGTAGCAAAGAGCAGGTTGCAGGGACGAAGGTGGAAGGAGGAGGGTGGCTTCAAGAGCGAAGGGGGCGGGAAAATGAGAAGTGGGGGTCCCAAGACCTCCTAGAGGCCCCTAACAGACCCACAAGAAATTCCCAACGGAATCCCAAAGCCTCCAATGAACATCTCAACCACCATGCAACGTTAGGGCCACGCCACGCTACAAAATCGTAGCGCTGCATGCATTCTACGACTAGAAACCTCTCCTTGCCTCGGCGTTGACCACCTCACGATGAAACAATGGAACGAATCGCCCAGGCCGCCAGGGCTCCTAGCGCAAGCCTGTCAGACTGACTGCACTGACGTAGTAATCGATCGTTCTGCGCGGCAATGGCCCAGGCTGCATCGACTAACGGTTCAAGATACGACGAAAGGAATGAAACGACAACTCGTTCTCAGACGTCGAGCATTGATGGCACGCCATAAAGGTCACATGACCGTCTCCAGTTGGCTGCGCAAACAGGACGCATCGTAAACCATTGCACCAACGGCGTGGTACGGATGACAGCAAGTGGCACCTCGGGTGCCACAGGTGGTAATTCAGAGAACCAGGGATGGAAAGCATCAGTGGGTATGCACCGACCAGCCAATCTCGAGAACGAAAGAGGGCCACAACACGCAAATCGCCATGTGAAAACGCGAAGCCTGCCTCCTTGACCTCGATGCCGTCTGCGGTGGTCACCCCGGGCAGCGCGCAGAGAAACTTGCCCCCGGCCACCACGTTGACCGCATTGGTTACTATGCTCACCTAGGCGCCGAACTCGCCACATGACAAAAAACACTTGTACGAAAGCTACCTTTTCTTTGGTTGTTCATATTATGCGTCGTTACCTTCGGAGTCGCGTGACACCCGACGTTCCCCGTGAAAGGTGTAGGCGAATTCCCACCGTATGGTTCCTCGCCGCATTCTGCCGACTTCGCTGTTGACAAGCTGTGAAGTCGTAAACTCGCGTTGTCGACGCTTGCTCGATGGGACGACAAGAACGAAAGAGGATAGGGGGGAAGGCTCAGGTGGTGGTGTGCGTGGGGCAATTGGCCCTTAGGACTTCAGTATCAGCGCTTCATGTCTGACATCGACCCTATAAAGCAGACAATCGGCACCATAATCGTGACGAGCGCTCCAAATTCTTCCTGCTTCTCCCTATCGTCCTCCTTCCTTCTCGCTTATTCCCCATACTGTTCCAGTAACTCTGGATACGGGTTCCCCTCTTGCCCCTTCCTCGTGTCACGTTCCTCTCTCCCCCTCATCTGCTCCATAGGTCCTCCTTACGCCTCATTCCTACTTCTCCTTCCCAAATGTTCCTTCATTCTTCCTCCCACCTCATAATTCGTTCCTCTCACGCTTCTCTTCTCCATTCCTCTCCGACGACGGCGACGAGGAACACGGCTAGGACGAGGATGATAACGGCAACGACGACGGCCATCTAGCGAACATGTGGTCTAACAAACGGATTTGGCCTTTTGGTGCTGGTCCTTCCCCGCTAAACACGCCCTCGCAATCAACAAACCGAACCAAGTTCAATGGTGCGTTTATCATGCCACCCCATGGGAGAGAAAAACAAAAACACTCACCCGCCATGTGCACTGACGCGCTCGCGGGCATTCCACCGACGCGAACGAAGTGCGAGGAAGTCTCCGCAAAGAACGCCGTTCCTGAGTCTCTGGGCCTCCGGGGCGTCTCGGAACAGGCTGCGAGGAAATATCGAACGCAAACAAGTTTCGTCGGAGGCTGGCTTCTTTCATACTCTTGGCGGGGGCCCAGCAGCGACTCCGGAGGGAAGGAGGGGGAGGGGACACAGCAGCACGATGACAGACTTCGCGGTGCAGGCGTGAGACCACTGGGCTACCTCGAGTGGCGTGCGCACGAGTGGGGCTGAAACGCCCAGCCACACATATGTGCGACCCTGCGAATATATGGCGAAATTGACAAGCCACCCCCGCACTCGCAATCCGCAGCCAACGGCCGTGGATGCATCATGAGCTAAGAACCTGCAGGGGCGACGGACTCGGGTGGAGGGAGACGGAAGAGGAGGAAGAGAAGGAGGAAGAAAAGGCGGAGCACGAAAGACGGGGGCAGCATGCTGGCCAAAATGGGCGGATCGAATGCAAAGCCATTGGGGGCGAAGCAACGCAATCAAACAACGCGCACTAGCCCTGGACCTGCGCGCATTTTGGGGGGGGAGGGGGGGAAGAGGAAGAGGAGGTGCAGTGCACCCAGGAAGGGCACCGTCCGTTCTACTGGCCATTGCTGCTGCTGTAGCTGCTGCTGCTGTTGCTGCTGCTGCTGCTGCTGTTGCTGCTGCTTGAAACTGCAGCCCGAAGGAAAAACATCGGCCACCCAGGGGATCAGGCAGAAGGAGGGGGTGAGGGGGGCGGCCTTGCCTGAGCGCTCGGCGGCAACTCATGGGAGCCTCCAGTGCCATCTTGTCGGCCCTTGCGAATCGATGCTAGTCGACGCTAATCGATGCTGAATCGATGCTGCTCGACGCTGGCTGGCGCCACATCGGCTCGCCGAGGCAAAACGACATGCCGAAGGTGATCCAAAACAAGCCGAAGGAGGAGGAGTAGGAGGAGGAGGAGGAGGAACAGGCGAAACTGTATATGCATACGCACAGAGGGAGCGAGCTCGGCTGGCCTACCAGTCCCAGCTCGAAGGCTGAAACTCGCACCACCGCTGGGCCTCGATAGATCGTCGCCCGCCAGCGCCAGCCCCTCAGCCACCATGCGTTGATAACGAATGACGAAGTCCATTGGGATCTCATGATCGTGGTTCCAGAGCGCCCGCAAGAGGGCGCGCTCTAATGGCTCACCGGGGCTCGTGTCCATCAGTTGTTCAACCTCGCGATCCACCCCGAACACTAACTACGCGAGACCAGTCGGGTTCCTCCTTTTCCTCCTCCTCCTCCTCTTCCTCCTCCTCCTCTTCCTCCTCCTCCTCCTCCTCCTCCTCCTCCTCCTCAGCACCGTCTTTATGCTCCATGGAATCCTCGGTCGAAGCGCTGACCGTCTCGAGGACGACAGGAATCTACTGGCACAGCGTGTCATTGATACGTTCCGGGGATTCCAGGATTTCTAACAGCCTTCGCGCGGGGTGCACTTTGCGTCGAGTATTGTCTGCTCTGCCTGGCGCCGCTGGTCGGTCACCCATTCGCAGTCGAGTAGTCGCCCGCAGGGGGCTATTTGGCACTTGCTGATCCCCCTTTTCGTTGCCGAGCGCGGGGGGGACGGTGGCGCACCGTCCCGTCGCCCGCCGCCGCGCACTGCGCGCCTCGGCGGATTTCCAAGACCTCGTAAGGCAAATCACGCGCGACTCTGGACAATTCTCTGGGGGTAGATTTGAAATGTCCAGCAACGTTTTTGCAAATGTCCGGCCTACTTTTTGAAAAATCCCAGGAATGATTTTGAAAACCCATTTTGACAAATCCCGGATTTTAGAACCCTTCAGATGTCCTGCGCGGCGGGCGCATTCCACCCCTCAAAACTGTTGTTTCTGTTGTTTCGGGAATGTCCGGACAAATTTTGAAAATGTCTGGAACCGCTTGCGCCAAAAAACGGAAGCGCTGTTTTGAAACATTCTACAATCCGGAAATAATTTCCGGGTGGTCCGACGGGCGCGGCCGCCTGGTTCACGCACAGCGCCGCGTACGATTGCGCGCAGCGCGCGCCGCACCCTGCGCCCGCGAACAGCACTCGAAGGGGTTACCTCTAAAATCGCGCCACGAAAGCTGCGACTCACGGACTCCCCCAGAGCAAAACAGAATGCAGCTTGGAATCTCCGAGGGCGCTCCGATGCACGAAAAATGCACCGCGCACATCACGCAAAGAACCTGCGCGACGGAATGCGCTCGACAATTCGTCCCTGGAGCCCGCGCGGGAGAACGGAAAAGCCTGAAAATCTGGAGAACTATCAATATCAATACACTTCACACTTCCCTGAGTCTCGCCCGAGGATGGCCCGCGATTGCGGTGGCTGCTGCGTGTCGTCTTTCTGTTCTTGCCGATGGTGGTGGCAACTGCTCAGGCCCCTCCTGGACACCGATGGCCGCTTCAGCCTCAGAGCCGAGGTCTCCAGATGCTGAACGCCGCTTGTCCATCCAACCTTCAGCGTCTGCGTCCGAGGGCGTGTCGTGGGCATCGTCGTCCAGTGTGCCGTCCTCGCCGTCCCTGCCCGTGCTCTTCTCTCTGCGTGGCTCCTGGACGGGGCCTCTATAGGTTTCGTCGCCCGCGGCCCCGGCGGGCCGGCGCCGCTCCGCCGCGGCCGCCGCCATCTGGGAAAAGACGGATCCCCTGCAGAATCTGCCCCCGAACGTGCTCGTCGCGGAAATTTCCGTCGCGCGTATCTTGCCCTGGCTCTCCTAGGGGGCCACATGCGAACCCTACCCCTACCCCCCACGATTTCTGAAGGGGAGGGTGGGGTTCACTTCGCTCGGGGGCTCCCAAACGAAGTGAACCCAACCATACCCCTCAGAAATCGTGGGGGGTAGGGGTAGGGTTCGCATGTGGACCCCTATCTCTTGCAGCTTGGCTCGTGTCTCCGCGCCCCTGGGCCCCCGCGTGGCGCAGGCTCCGGCAGATCCCCGAGGGTCGGCTCCGCTCCCGCGGCGCCGCGCCCCGCGAGCCCGCGACGGCGGACCGCCCTGCAGCTCGAGCGCCTCCGCGGCGCGCCGCGCCTCGCCGAGCTGCTCCACGGCCGCAGCTCGCACTGCACCGGGTCCAGGAAGCGGCCCGACGACGCCGGCCGCGCGCCAGGCCGCGCGCCACAGGCCGCGCGCCTCTCGGTGCTCCTCGGGCCCGCCCTCTCGAAGCCGAGCGGCGCCAGGGCGCCGCGGCAGGCGCGCTTGCCGCGGCAGCACGATCCCCCCCGGCGCCGGGTGCCTGGCGCTGCCCGCCTCCCGCACGCTGAGCGCTGCGCGGGCGAGCCGCGCCTCTCCCGCGGGCGAGGCTCCGCGGGCCCGGGCCCTCCCAGCGAGGGGGCGCGGCGCCGTGGGCTCCGGCCCCTGCTCGCGGAGCCCAGCGGGTGCGGCGGAGCGGCCGCGGGAGGCACCGGCCGCCACGCCGAGGGGCACAGTGCCCCCGCTGCAGCGTCGGCGGCGTCAAGAAGGCCAGGTCCGCGCGCACGCAGGCGGGGCGAGGCCGGTGCCCCGTTCAGCGCACGGTGGGCACGGGCTGGCCGGTCTCGAGCTCCACGGCGCCAGTCTGAGGTCGGGCGTGCCCTCCTGCAGGCGGATGTTGGGCAAAAAATCAAAAGATACGCAGCAAAGATTTAAAAAGAATCAGAAAGTATAATGAACAAATCGTGCCCCGACTATTTTATGACTACTTTTGAATATTCCTCCTGTAGAAGGACAGGCCCGACTGAATGCCAGTCTTGTCAGCGGCCTGGTCGGGACCTGGCTCCACCAACGCACCCAGCGTCGCGGCCTGAGACGCAGCGCCCTCCGCCTTCGCCCTTCGTCCAGCTGCATGTTCCGGCGCGGCATTGCGCGAGCCCGGCTGGGATTTGCGGGAGGCAGCGGAAGAGGACAGGAAACCTGAATGCGCCCTGTGCGAGGGCACTTGGGACCCGCCCTTGAACCCAGGGGGTTTTAAGCCAATGGAGGCTTCAGCCATAGCTGGGCTTCCACAGCATTGAGCGACTTGCAAGGAACGTCTCAATCGACAGCGCCACTCCTGAGTGTGCGATGCACGTGACCAGAGCGTCTCGGAGTAAGTTGTGAGGAGACATCGAACGGGAGCCAATGTCGTCTCTAGAGAGAGAAGAAAAAAACGCCTTTCCTGAGTTTCGGGCCCTCTCTGGCCAAGGTGTCTCGGGGTAAGTTGTGAGCAGGTACCAGGCGGGGGAGTCGCCGTCGCAGTTGGGACTCTGACAACTACGTTCGATTGCGAGGACATCTCAGGCGGCAGCGCTGTTCCTGAGTTTGGGGCCATCCCCAACCAGGGCATCTCGGAGAAAATTGTGAGCACGCATCGAGCGGGAACCGTTGTCGTCGCAGTCGGGCCTCCAACAACTTGCCTGCTCTGCGCGGGCGTCTCGAGCGAGAGTTCCGTTCCTGAGCTTCCGGGCCTCTCCGGCAAAGGCGCCTCGGAGGCATTACGTGCACTGTCGGCAAGTGTTGACCGGCAGCCGCTCTGTCGTCGCAGTTGGGCCAAAGCACTCCGAGGCGCAAGCCCGCGCTCGAGCGGGAGCCCCGGTCTCAAAAGAAGGTGCGCCCGGCGTCGGGGCGAGAGCGCCTGGACCCGATCCCACTGATCAGCAATACATGCAGGGCAGTCTCTAATACGTAGGATTGATATTAAAAAGTATGATTTTCATGCATGATTAATTTATGAATAAATTTATGCACGAACTCATCGTTGTTTGTAATACCAAATCCCTGCATGTTTAATACATGAGCCGCACGCGGAGCACGCATTAAAAACTGCACTGCAATTTGCTTCCCGACAGGACTCGACGACGGCAGGCTCCGGAAATCTCGACCGCTCCCGCGGGAATTGGCTGCTGTCCTGGTGCCGCTGTCATGGGCAGCCCTGGGGGCCAAACACGGGAAGCCGAGAGTCGCGGACAAAAAACCCTCGCCCGATTCATCCTCGATCGATCGAGGGTCGAGGACGGCGGCGACCCCCCAAAGCGGCTCGCCGGGTCGGCGTCCTCCGCGATCCTGACCTTGCAGAGGCGGAGCTTGTCCTTTTTCGGCACGGGCGCCACCTCGGCGGCTTCCCCGGAGGAGGAGGAGGAGGAGGAGGAAGGAGGAGGAGGAGCAGGAGAAGGAGGAAAAGGATGAGGAAAAGGATAAAGAGACGACCCAAAGCAGGAAGAGGGGACAGGATGAAGACGAGAGAAAAAATACTTCTTGAGGAGGAAGAGGAAGAAGAAGGGGAGAAGGAGAAGGAGGAGGAGGAAAAGGAACGCTCACCTTCCCGTGGGTCTGTGCTTCGCAGGGCGTCTCGGAAGAGAAGGGCACGCATCTGAACGTGCCTTCGGGACAACATTCGACTGCGGGCTTGCAGGAGGAGCAGCACCCCATGGGGTCTGTACTTCCCGCGAGCTCGCATGGGAGTGTATGTCGAGTACATGAAACCATGTGTCATTAGCATGGTCAGTCGACATTCGGGCAGAGTCTCGGGAATTTCGTGCAAGATCATTCGCTGCAGAAGAGACAAAGCGAGCAAGCAAGACGGAAGGGCAGGCACACGAGAAGACAGCAGAGAGAGCAGTCACGGACAATAACATATAAGTGAACCACCTCATCGCCTCCGACCGCACAGCGCCCGAACCTGCAGATATCAGTTCCCTGTTAGAGCCTGCGGGGCATGGGCCAAGCATTACAAAGAGTACGGTGATAGGCGCTCCCGGTACAGGGGACAAGCTTATAGTTTGAGACCCGCAGATTTATCTGCGCACGAGAACCGACATGGTTGGGGCGCCTCAAGCCAAAAGTTCCTCGCGACCATCAGAAAATCACGAACAGGTGAAATGTGGGGGTGCCTCACCCGGGGGAACTTGCATGTCTTTCTCTTTACCCCAACAATGTCAGGGCCCCCAATCGTCGGAGCGATCGCGGCAATCTCCCTGCACTATGCCATCCGCTTGTGCGCGATCGACTGTTTCCACTGAATAGGGAATCGGGGGACAAACCGGACATCGGCGTCGAAGACCCCAGTGAACACGGGGCAGACACTTGCCTTTGCATCGCCAGATCTCTAGGCCCAGCCGCCACTGCTATATTCCCGATCCCTCGCAGAATCGAGCCGGGGATAGCATGGCGCAGCGCGCGGGCGAGCCGCTGCAACGCACTGTGCTCAGTGGCCATCGCGCGCTCGGTGGCAGGGTAGACTTGCCAGACGCGAGAGACGACAGGAAGAACAGAGGCACCATAAGCACGAAGGTTGCGCACTGGCGAAAGACGGAGCGAGCGAGCGCGAGATGCACTATCAAGCAGCTTGGAGCACGGGGCTGCCCACCTCTCATCGCATCCGCCAGGGCCCAGGAACGCACCGAGACATGTCCCGCAAGGAAGGGGGTTGAATAGCCCAGCGCCCAGCCCCGCGGCCCCAAAAAATACGCGCGACTCCCGAAGGGACCCGACGCCCAGGAACATCCGGAACACACTTGTCGAGGTTCAGACGAAGCTCGGCGACGGCGCGGTTCGCGGCGCATTGTTCCATCGACATCGGGCCAACGCAACTGGGGTCGCCGACAGCGAACGCGATCAACTTCCGACGGCTGGAAGACAAAGCTAACATGTTTGATATACTGGGACGCTTTCGGAGCAGTCGAGTTCGCCATCTCGGGGCAGGCGGCACGTCTGTCGACCAAGTTGTTCTCGCTTGTCCTCCTCCTTTTCTTGCCGCGAGGGAGCCCGCCATCTTCCCGAGAGGGGCTGGCGCGCGAATCGCTGGACATGTCGTCGGGCCGAGTCGTCGGGCACCTCGCCGAGCAAATCGTCGGGCCCATCGTCGGGCAAGACGGCGGGCGCGTCGTCAATCGCGTCGACGGGCATAAGATCTTGGCACGCACTGGGCCCACAACATCGCTCCCCTCCCTGCGCTCGTCCGCAGCGAGGACAGCGCGGCCGCAGTTCCGGAGTGGCTCCGAGACCCAGGGAGCCCGTTGAGCCCGTCGCAACCGACGAACATCATTTGCTCCATGGCAGAGGGCTCTCCCAAAATCGGCGCAGCGTCTCCGCGCTGCCCCGCGATGCCTCTTCGGCCAGGACGAACCGCGCGCACGAATTTCAAGAATACTGCAGCCTCCTGGGAAACATCCCAGGGCCCGAACTTGAACGGGCGTTGTTTTGCGAGCGCTAGTCGCAGCATTCATCGTAGTTTCGACATATTATCAGACCTGGTGGGGATCGGGGGCAAATTCTAGCCCGTCCAATCTGGCGCAGTAGCACGAGAAAGTCGGGGCGCCGGGCGCACCGTCGCGGAACACGGGGCGCGCGCGAACCACAATGGGCTATCTGAGCAATCGCAGGCGCGTGATCTGACGGGAACGCGAGACCGCGGACGCGTCCATTCACTCCAGCACGCGTGTGCCAATCGAGAACTTCACCAGTCGGCGCATTCACGCGCAGGCGGTCGAGCCGAGCGCGGAAGTGGAGCTGGGGGGCGCCATCGACTGTCCGCGCTGCACGGTGCGTCATTTCAGTCTGCTGAATCTCAACATCGAGCATGGCAGAGCCATCGTCCGTCGTCGCCCCCCCCCCGACATGGCGTCGAGCCCCGCCCTGCTCGCGGAAGTTCCAGTCGCCGCCTGCCATGCAGAGGGCGCGATGCTGCTGAGGAAGCGCCCGAGCTAATGAGTGTAAGCCAAGTCTGGCTATTCGGATTCAAGGTGCATTTTCCTTGTGGAAAAAGGTGCCGCCAGGGCCGCTCAGGCGCACGACGTCAACACGGATGGAGCTAACAGATCGGACAGGGACCTGGCAACGCAAATGACAGCCCCCCTGCGCGGTGATCAGAACAAGAGAGGACCCTGCGCGATCAAAACTGGTGCACTCTCTGTCGAAGTGCTGAGACCGACCATGGACCCATGAGCCTCCTGCAAGAGAATAATCAGTTACGAGCGCGCGCGCTTCTTGCACTGACGGGTACGATAACACACACACACACACTTCCAAAGGGAGCAGCCGAGTTCCGCCCAGCAGCACATAAATTACGCGAGACGTGCCAAAGTTGGAGCAGCATTCGGTGGTCAGACGAAAGCAAAGGAGGGGGGGCAGAGAGAACCGCTTCACCTCGCGGTGCATGCCAGGCGCAGGCCCGACGCCTTCATTCCCACAGGGCCCAGCAGTCCTGCCTCCAGTAGAAATAGACATAGACGGAGGGGCAGGCGCGGAAGAGGAGGCAGTCGGATCCGTCGAAAGAGTCGAACCCGAAAACGCTGAGGTGGACGCCGGAGCTCCCGAAGTAGGCGCAAGCAAAATGCTGCGAACTGCTCGTTGTCATTCCAGTACGTAATGCTTGGGATGTCAACCGCGCTTGGAGCGCAGCTTGCTCTTGACCAGCTCGGGGAAGAATTTGGCAATCTCGATCGGGTGACCAATGCTCGTCGCGGCATTAAGCGTGGCATGTGTAAAGGCCTCGAGCCCGCCGCCCATGTCATCGCTGGGGGCGGTCCTCGCGAGGTCGTAAATCTCCTCGCTGCCACTGCAGCTGCAAGCTAGATGCAAAAACCGGGTGCGAGGGCTAGCGCTCAGCGAGAAGGAATCCTCCCAGGCCTGGTGCTGGAGCGATGCGGCACGCATAGACTCCCAACATTGGCCCAGAGCGTATAGCCTGTGGCGTATGCGCAATGGCTGGCCGAACCCGAATCGCAACCTAACGCAATCCCCCGTCATCGGGTCGCGCCACAGCAGGTTGAGGCTGGAGCCGATGTCCTTGCCCCAGGCGAAGAAGGCACGAGCGGCATCCTCGTGCTCAAGCTTGACATTGCAGCATAGCTTGTAGCTCTGATACTGCGCGCGAGCTCCAACTCGAAGCTCAGGAACAGCAGCACGGAGCAGTTCGAACTGGGACTGGAACACCCTCGACAGCAGCTTGCGCAGGAAGTCCCTGGCCAATCTCTTGCACCTGTCGCTCACGTCGCCGCTCCCCCCGCGCGGTCTCGTCGGTCCAACAGCAGGCGCAGCACCAGGAACAACTTCCCAGCCACGGCTCCCCTTGGTCTTGGGTTCACCACCGAAGGAGCTCCACGGATCCGAAGATATCGAGATCGAAGAGGTGACACGCGAAGAGGCAGGCCGTTCTGGATCGCATTCTTCATGGCAGTCATCTTGGCGTCCGGCTCGGCGACGGTTACAAGTTTCGGGATGGCTGGCTCAAGTCGACCATCGTCCAAAGGCAGAGTCGAAGTACCAGGCGTTTGCGCGCCGACAACACCAGTCCAGTATAAGCTCCTTGCCTGGTCCAACTCGGAATTCCTACTCGTTCAATCGAACCTGAGCTCGGCAATCTGCGCCTCGAACGTCTCGTCCATGGCTTCGACCTGGCCCATGACGCCCGCAAAGTCGGTCCTCGGCGGCTGGAGCTGGGTGCCGACCACCTAGCCTATGGCAGCCAGATCCTCTGGAGAGAGCGGCATGGCGGCAGCGAAAATATAGTAACTGTCCGCCCGCGCGCGACACCTGGGATGGCCCCTTCGAGGAGGGCTGCCCAACCAAACGCGCCCCAGCGGCTTGAGCCAAAATGGCAACGGAGGAGGAGGCGGAGGCGGAGGAGGAAGAGGAGGAGGAGGAGGAGGAGGAGGAGGAGGAGGAGGAGAGGGAAGGAGGAGGAGGAGGAGGAGGAGGAGGAGGAGGAGGAGAGGGAAGGAGGAGGAACAGGAAGACCAGAAACTGCGAGGAGGAGAGGAGCCAGCCCGGGGAGGAGGACCGGTGCCACGGCAGGCCCGAGATGCACTGAGGCGGTGCTGCCGTGCGGCCTCCGGTCCCGGGTTCCCCGCCTCGAGAGCCACTGCGGGAGGCGGCGCCCCCCCCCCCGTGGGCAGAGGAGCGCCCCGTGGGCCTGCGATGCGGGCGAGGCTACGGCTCGCAGGGGGCCCGCCCTCCGAGCCTTCTCCAGCAACACGGCGATGCGGGCGGGGCCAGGTCTCGCAGAGGGCCCACCCTCCGAGCTTCTCCAGCAATGCGGCGTGCAGGCAAAGTGGGGTCAAACAGCGCAAGGGACATGTCCAACGATACTCCGTTTCGACACGGGCCTACCATGCAGCCGCGGGAGCGCCGTGCCGTTTGAGGATCCTGGTAGCCGAACGCACATCGAAAAATGGAGCCCCCCTCCATCCGTGCAGCTGTCGCAGGGAGGCCTCAGGCGGGACGCCATTTTTTGAAAACGGGCCACCCTCCACGGGTGTAAGTGTTGCACGACTTTCAGACGAATGTGCGCGGCGCTGGGACGAGAGCTCCACTTTAACAACGACATGTGCTCCATCCGTGTAATTGCTGGGTTGATAAAGACTGGTGTGCACGGCGTCGAGCCGAGAATCCCATTTGGCGCCCCCCACCCCACCCCCCCGCCCGCCCCCCCCTTGTCCGTGCAACTGCTGGGAACGATTGTTTAAAACAAATGTGTGCGGCGCATACAACACTGGCTAGCAGAAAGTAAACGCGAGACGCGAACACCTCAATGACCTCGCCGACGATGGGACAGGGTCTCTTCTCCTTCTTGTCCTTTTCGACGCGCGGGCAGACACAGACGAGGACCGACAGTGACAGCGAGAGGCACGGCTACAATCAGCTGCACAAATGATGTACCGTTCGCCTCGGAAAAGTGGTCTAACCGTCGGGGAGGGCAAGAACTTGAACATTCCTTTAAGAACAACCCACGATAAAAGGGACGATAGCAGCGGCGAGTGAGCGTAGGGCAACAAGGGCAGCTGAGAATCCTGAGCCGCCAAGCGATTGCGGCTCAAACACCCGAAGCAAATCCTGCAATCGCGTGCGGTAGCACTGAACATGATGGGGACGGGGACGAGGGCAGGCGCTCGCTTGTCTTCTGTCTCTCGTCCTGTCTCTCGTCTCCTTGACCTTGGCTCTCTGGTCGTGTCTCCTTCCTGCTGCTTCCTACAAGAAGACGCGTGGCGTCAAAAGAGGCCACCCCGGGTCAGCCCCCCAACCGGGTCGGACGAAAGGCGGGGGGGAGTGAAGGGGGGTTTGGTGGTAAAGGGGGGTTGGGCGAATCGGCTCCCGTGGCTGCATTTCCCGGCGACAGAGGCGCCGAGGTATCGAGTCGTGCGCCCAGCGGCGAAGCCGACACCATGCTGCAGCCAGGAGACTTCGTACATCTCCCCTTGTTCTGGTCCCCCCCCTTTCTGAAGGGGACTGGGGGCACACAAAGAAATGCACACAAATCCTAGGATGCCCCATAGTTTCCAATATTCTCATGGTTCTCGTCTTCCCCCCCACTTCCCACGTTTTCCCATGTCTTCATAGGGGAATCGACGATTAGTTGTGTCTGTGTGTTTTCTCCCCTCCCGACTTTCGACCGACCCGGCCTTCGTCTCTGGCCGCCCTGGGCTGCCCCAAGGAGTCCCCGAGGCACGAACAGCGGCAACGTGTAGGCAACGTGTAGGCACGCCGCCCCCCCGTCTTGCCGGGACGGCGTGCTGGGCGCGCTGCGGTGGCAGGCCGGCGGCGGCACGGTGGCGCGCGGCACACCGCGGTTGGATTGCCGTCACCGGGTGCCCAAGGCACGACGGCAGACGAATGGGCCGCAGCCGACGTAGGCCCGCCGCCCTCGTCTTGCGGGACGGGTGCTGGGCGTGCTGCAGTGACACAAGGGGGACGATCAACGACGTGAGCATATAAAAACTCGGAGGTCCGCGCGGGCTTCTCGGATCGGCGCTGGAGCCCCCTGGCGGCGCCTCCGGTGCCGCCCCTGGCCGCCTGTCCGCGCGCCCGGGGGAGCGGGGGTCCAGCGCCGATCCGAGCACTCCGCGCGAACCTCCGAGTTATGTCACGCTTTGTTCCCCTGTGACAGGTCAGCGGCGCTTGGCGGCGCGCAAAAGGGGGTAGGGGGAGGGGGGAAGGCTTCTTAGAGGCACCCTGCTTCTTAGAAAGCCTCGGCCTTGCGTCTATAGAGAAGGCCCGCGCCTTCTAAGAAGCAGGGGTACTTCTAAGAAGCCTTCCCCCCTCCCCCTATCCCCCTCTGCGCGTTGCCGACGCGCCACAGTGGCGCGCGGCACCGCGGCTGGATTACCGCAGCGCGCTGCCCACAAAAACGGGCAGCAAGATTGCCCAGGAGTTGCCACAAAGAGGGAAGAGGAAGAGCTGCAGAAGCACAAGCTGTCGAAAGTCTGCGGGGATCTCGTGGATCTGTGCTGGATCCCCCTCCCTGGCGCGCGCGGAGCGCGCCGGCGCCGCCAAAAGGGTCTTACGCAAATCCAGGAGATCCGGGCGGATCTCGGAAAGTCTGAATCCATGCTGTGCCTTCCGCCCTCGGCCAGGAGTCGCGGGTCCTTTTTCTTCTTCTTGCCGAATTCGAGTGCCTCCCCGTCTCCTCCAGCAGCTGGCTCGTCGTCCTCATCTTTCTTCTCCTTCTTGTC